AATCAAACCATCGGGCCAACTATCTGAGGGGAGGCGAAAGGGGAGGTGGGGTGGCCCGGGAAAAGGCTGATTTCATTATGAAGGCCCTGGTGACAAACCTTTTGTCCTCGGTACAATCTGGGCCTGCCGAGCTGCTCCACGGTCTCCGAGAAAGCACGGGGGTGGGAGAGAAAGGATCCCCGCCAGGAGGCAACACACTCATCCTTAATGATGAGACAAGGCTCCCCTTGCCCACACTTCCTCCCGCCACAGACACGCCGCAGAGAGCGCAGGATGCTCCTCCGATGAGAGCAGGCAGTGTCCTAGGCATCGGAGAGCTGGTTGTTTGGGGATCCTCCCCACCACCACACCCCAAAATCACACACAGGCTCTTAGTGATGAGTGTGAAGTGTCGTGTTTCCATTTGGCCGTGGTCTACTGGGTCGGAGAACTAGAAGAGAACTGCTAAGGAACCCACCGCTCCCGAAACGCTTCGTTTCACCCTCGCGCACCCTCCAGGACTCAAGGAGACATAATCCTGGTGGACAGAGGTCTGTCACAGCTCAAAACGGAACAATGGTGTCTAGTGTCACCCTCAAGAAAAGTTGACTGGTGCACGGAGCCCTGAGCCCGAGTCGGAAAGCGGGGTTCCAGTCCTGGTTCTGACACGTGTGCATTGGTGGAAGCTGAGACAAGCACCTGCTCCCTCTGAGCCTCAGTCTGGTCAACTGCAAAATGGGAACAGCTTCTCCTCTTACTAGTTGTGTAACCTCGAGCCACTGAGCCTGTGCCTCAGTTTCCTCATCTGTAAAAGGTGTCTCGCTCATAGGATGGTTAAATATGAGAAATCATGTACAGCTCTCCCACTAACCGTCGGCACCCCCCACTGCTGTCATGATTCGTGGGGGACAAGGGGGAGATAAGAATTTCTACAACTAGGTATTTACTACAAGGATTAAGCAAACAGCTGTGCAGCAGGACCCTTGGTTTGTTAGACAGCTTTCAGAGAAACCGAGTTCAGAGGCCAAGCTGAATTCTGAAGCCAAGAATCAGAGGGGCCAGGCAAGGGCGCATCTGTGCCCTTGAGCACGAGGCATCCAAACACGCACCAGTTGACCCTTGAGCAATGTGGGGCTTAGGGTGCCAACCCCCACACAGTGGAAAATCCACATGCAACTTTCGACTCCCCAGAAACTTCACTACAGCCGCCCCTCGGTATCTACAGGGGATTGGTTCCAGGACCCCCACGATACCAAAATCTGTAGGTGCTCAGGGCCCTTGTATAAAACAGGGTAGCACGATGCTCAGTCAGCCCTCCCTTCGCATCTGCCATTTCCAGTCCGCAGTTGGTTGAATTCATGGATGAAAAACCCGGGGATACAGAGGCCGACTGTATATTCATTGAAAAATCCACATGTAAGTGGACCTGTGCAGTTCAAAGGTCAACTCTGATTTCAGGCTTTCCTGGGGGAAAAGCCATCCATCCGTCCTCATCTTCTCCACGGAATTGCCGGCTCAGAAAGGCAGCAAATTGTGGTCCCATGCTCTTTAAAGTCCTAAACAATAACTGCTGGGTCTGAGATTTCCCTTCAGAGGTTAAAATCGTCTTTCAAATGAATCCATTCACGTTAAGGGCGGGAGTTGGTTTTAAACTTCCCGACTTCTTTCAAGGAAGACATAAAGAGCTCCCCTTTACCTTAAACATCACTTTCAAATCAAAAGTAAACACAGGTAGGAAGTAGTGCAAAGGCGCACGCGAATCTCTGCTCATGGTCCAAGTTGAGAGCCAGAGCCAGGTAAGGGACCGCGCCGGAAAAGTCAGCAAATCCTGGCTGAGGAAGCCCTTCTCCACTGGGCTCCTCGGTGATTCGGTGTGGAGTTCCACACATGACATTCAGCCCGCTGACGGACTGTTTATAAACTAGGACCATGCTAGCACTGGGTGGGTGGGTGTGTGTGTGTGTGTGTGTGTGTGTGTGTGTGTGTTTAAGAGAGAGCATGTAAACTTGGATACAATCTACATTCAAAAAATTATGAAACAGAGGTAACCTTTAGCCATTTGTTCACCAAGTTCGTTTTTACTGTTTAGATCGATTTGCCTCTCTGGCATAGAAAGAACAAACAGCCTTGCCTCAAGCTCAGCACGTCTCATATGCCAGTTCCTCCTTCCTACCCTTCCCGCTGACGGACCCTCCGCAATGTCCCCCTGCCCCCTCCACTCTGTCAATCACGCCCCTTTCTTCCCTTCACCCAGTAAGTAACAGGCACAGGACCAGGCGTGGGGCTCCCCCTCAGGAGGCTTATCCACCACTTGAAGAGACATATTTAAACAGATAATTGAAATAATTAATGACTTACCTCTTACATTTATCCCTTGGCCTATATAATCTAGTTTCTTGTTCATTTCCTTTCTTTGTCTGTTTTCTGCTTCCATCCCTCCATTTGGCCCTTGAGATCTTGCACGTCTATTTCCATGATTTTTTTTCCTGGGTACCTGTCTCTGCTGCCTCTCCTGGTCAGTGTCCTTCAAACTCTGCTTAGAACCACGTCCCTAAGACACTGGTTTAATATTCCTTCTGCTTCTCAGAAACACACAAGAGCAGCCCACAGCCTCCCTCAGCAAACCTAATGTCCCTGCCTGGTCTCCTTCCTCCCCGACTGCGTTCTCTCAATATCAGATCAGTCTGCTTTCCCAGATGCTCCCCCTCTTCTTGGCTAGTCTGCTCGCTGTCTCTTAGATCGACTCCTTTGGTGTATGTATTTACAATCATCTGGTTCTTGACCTGGGATGCCTTTCCTGTCATAGTCCAAATTCTGCAAAATCTAGACCAAACCCCACCATGCTTTTCCAAATCAGAGTAGCCCTCACCTTCAACTTTTTTGTAAGAATGCTGGTTTTACCGATTGAATATAAATGAAGTCACAAAGAACACCCAGTTAGGTTAGGGCAGTGATTCTCAATCCTTTTCCTCTCATGGCACACTTCAACTAATTACGAAAATTCTGCGGCACACCAAAAAAATACATTTTTTGCTGAGCTGACAAAAAAATAGGTATAATTTTTTTTTTTTTTTTTAAATCCTCACCCAAGGACATTTTTGCATTTATTTTCAGACAGAGCGGGAGGGAGAGAAGGGGAAGAGACAGAGAGAAACATTGATGTGAGAGAGACACATCGACTGGTTGCCACCCACATGGCCCCAACCCAGGCTGGGGACAAACTGCAACCGAGGTACATGCCCTTAGCACAGCGGTTCTCAACCTTCCTAATGCTGTGACCCTTTAGTACAGTTCTTCATGTTGTATGTGGGTGTATCTGCACGTGGGCGGACCCGCCTGGAGACAGATAGAGGAGCGGTGTCTCGGTTCCTAAGACCATCGGAAATAGTGTTTTCTGATGGTCTTAGGTAACCCCTGTGAAAGGGTCATTCGACCCCCAAAGGAGTTGCAACCCACAGGTTGAGAACCACTGCCTTAGCAGGAACTGAACCCGGGACTCTCTGGTCCACGGGCCAACACTCTAACCACTGAGCAAAATCGGCCAGGGCAAAAATAGGTATAATTTTGAGTCATCCACACTGGGCGGCTATTGTTGTGGTAGCTGTTGTCATTTTTTTCTTTGACAGGCTAAGGGAAAAGAGGTCAGTGCCCCTGACTAAATAGGTATTGCAAGTTTTCAAAATTCTTGCAGCACACCCGCTGAAAATAAACCCCAAAACCGAGCACTGCAAATCCAGTGGACCCTTTCTGGTGAATATGTGCACATTTTCGAAGTAAATATTTTAGGCTTTGAGGGTCCTATGGTGTCTGTTGCAACTACTCAACTGCCCTAATGGAACGTGAAGATGGCCAAAGAACATACACAAACAAATATGACTGCATTAAAATTTTTTTATAAGGGGCCACGGGTCAAGTTTGCCTTTTGGGCCAGTTTGTGAGTCCCGTTGTGGAACAAGAGTGGACGCAGCTGAGGATTTCCTCTTCTGGATGGCAAATCACAAGAAGTGCCTTAGATCAGCCCCTTATCTTCCCGGGGTAGCTCAACTCTTGCTTTTAGACAGTACGTACCCTGGGAGGAGATTCCCAGCCTAGAAGTCATCAACACGGGAATTTGGGCTGTGACCATCTGTTATATCTATTTTGGTCAATGAAGAAGAGATAATGGAATCCTCTTCGTTTCCTGTGTTGGAGATACGGCGAGGAGAGTCCCTGGTCTCATTCCCCAGCTATCCTCAGACTGGCAAGGGGCTCACTGGTCCGGACCACAGGGCCTACGGGGAAATCCCTGCCCACGCCCCCTGCTGGCACTGCTCTCATCGATGCCTTCCTCCAACCCTAGTACACACAAGTACTTGGTCATCGTATTTACTTTTCAGATGGAAAAAAACAGATGAGGTTCTTAGTCACCGTTAGCCCCTGAGCCACATCCGAAATGGTTTTGTGCTTAGACAGGTGTGATTTGGGAGTAAGAGGCCCCTGCCAAGATTTCTTATTTCAATTTGAATGTGATAAAATAATGAGGGTAGCTCATTACTTCTAGTCCTTACAATGACCCTTCAAAGAGTGTATTTTTTTCACCATACCCATGGAAAATGGGGCTCATAGGAGTGAAGCAGTTTATGCAACTTTGCCCATTTACAGAGGTCAGAGTTAGGGTGCAATCCAAGTCAGTCTGGCCCAGTAAACCTCTGGTCCATTCCTTCAAGACCACGGCCTCAAAAACCAAGTTTAACGTGTTTTAAAAGCCCTCAAATGCTTGCTCTGTGTAAAGTGAGGAATTACGTCAGCTTTGTGGGGTTCACTGTTCCCAAGGAGAACCTCTGAGAAGCAGATAGGCAAACCAGCCCCTGTGACTTGGGGACTGTGCCAGGGGCAAACAGCAGAGGCAGCGGTACCCCTGTCCCTTGAGCACACCCCCAGGTCGCTGGTACACCCCTGATCTAAACTGCACCAGGGGCCTGTGATGGTGGTACTTCCTCCACACACACCGTGGCGGTGGGCGGAGGGAGGTGTGTTCTTACCAGCCTGTCATATTAAAGTCCCTGTAGAGCATCTTCTTTCCAAGTTCTTTTCTCTGCACTCTCCTTGGAAACTCCAGATGTGTGAATTCATTTCCCAGCAAGTGCGGCTGCATGAATGCCTAGTAGCAAAAAGAAAAGGGGGGAAAAAAAACAAACCCACACACAGATTTAGAAGAAAAAAATAGACTCAAGGATGTTTTGCAAATTGAGACAGGCCACATTTCAAAAACAAACAAATCGCTCTCGTATTTTAAGGAAAATAAATAGATTTAAGACTCTCAGTGCCAAAAAAAACCACCCACTTAACGTATCAAGGGATGTAACTTCTTCATTTGAGAGGAAAAATTAATTGTTGATCAAAGACATGCATCCTCAGGAAGAGACTGAGTTTCTCCCAAGGTTAGCTTTGTACTTCACATCCAAGGTCGTTTCACTTTCTGCAGGCACGTGGGTGCGGCCGACAGCTCACCCTCCGCCGTGGCTTTCTCTGCTGTCCTCCTAGTGACCTTGGCGTGGCCTCTGAAACCTGCGAGTCTCCACGTCAACACAATGGCCCGAGAGCGGGCTGGGCTGGACGCCCTCCATTTTGCTCTGCGGTAATTTGATCATGTAATTGGAAGACTATTCCACAGCAGATGGCTCCTTCCCCTCCCCCAAATCCCTGTTCACACTACAAAAGTATCGCGCAAACAGCCACTTAGGGAATTGCTCTGAAACAACAAACAGTCTCATTGTCACGTTCAGAATTCAGATCCAGCTCTGCGGCAGAGGAGCTGGCCCCGCGCGCACTTCCTGCAGAGGCCTCACCGCGAGCCCCAGCCCAGACGCAGCCTGCTCAGCCGCGATGAGCCTTCGCTCTCTGGCCGGGGAGAGTGGGCAGAGCAAACCCCTTCGCTCTCTGGCCGGGGAGAGTGGGCAGAGCAAACCCCTTCGCTCTCTGGCCGGGGAGAGTGGGCAGAGCAAACCCCTTCGCTCTCTGGCTGGGGAGAGTGGGCAGAGCAAACCCCTTCGCTCTCTGGCTGGGGAGAGTGGGCAGAGCAAACCGCGGCCGGCACTGCAGGAAAGCAAGGGACCCCTGCCGCAGGACAGATGGCCGTGTCCGCAGTCCATGGAACCGGGCATCTCCCACATCTCCTTCCCAGGCCCCCACGCCGGCGGACCTGCCGCTGATTCCCACAGTGGCTTCAGGGGTATTCGTCAGGTGGTGGTCACCAGAGTGCAATGTACCGGGAGTGAAAGGAAGAGAGCTGAACTGTCACCGGGCGGTGGGGTTTGGCCAGAGAACTCACAGCCAGGGACTCTGAGCGGGCAAGGGGACAGACAGGAGGCCTGGGGTTGGAACCCTGAGGAGGGGAACCTCCTCACTGCTGGCTGCAGCCCCAGCCGGTTCCCGGTCTGATGGGAATTTGAGCTCCTCTTCGAGGGGCCCTGCAGATGGGGATCAAGCACCCTCAACTGGGCTCCATAGAGAGGCTCCCGGGGAAGGAAGGAAGGAAGGAAGGGAACTGATATTAGCAGGCAGGCCAGTGGCGGGGGCTGTGGGTAAGAGGGACTTGGGTTTGACTCTAAGCTCTGCATTGATAATCTGTAAGCTGTGCGCTTTTAGGGGGTTAACTTCTCAGGCCTCAGTTTTTGTTTTTTATCTGTACAATGAGATTAATTATATAGCCATCTCACATTATTTTAATAATGTTTATAATGCACTCACCATGGTTGTCTCTGTTCATACGAGAAAATAATTATTAAATTATCCATTTAATAATTATAGAGGCCTATTACATCCTGAGTCCTAAGCTAAGTGCTTTGCGATTCTCATTTCACCCTCCCAATCACCTCCCTGGCCACATCATTTGTGCAAAATAAAAATATGAGTCTCTGCCAATCCCATCCAGACCGTGCCAGTGGGCAGAGCCCAGCAGGGCCCTGTGCCAGTCACAGCCCAGGAGGCCAGCTGTGCCCACAGGGCAGATACTGCTCTTTCCCCTCTGTCCGTTCACCCGCGAAGACAAGGGAATGGAGGCGTAAAAAGTCAATAAAAAGTAGCATCTCTGGCCCGGCTGGTGTGGCTCAGTGGATTGAGTGCCGTCCCATGGACTGAGAGGTCCCAGTTCGATTCCCGTCAGGGCACATGCCTGGGTGGTGGGCTCGATCCTCAGTAGGGTGTGAACAGGAGGCAGCCGATGGATGTTTCTCTCTCACATGTGTGCTTCTCTTTCTCTCTAAAAAAAAAAAAAAAAGAGTAGCATCTTGTACATGCCCTGGATCACCTCTCAGACCTTGGGACTGTCCAGCATGCAGTTCTTGTCACACCCCCTACATCTCAAGCTGGACCCTCTCATTTAGGGGTTACTATGTCCCAGACACTTGAAATGCTTTGTATAACCACCCCAACAATACTACAAAGAATGTTCCATAGAGTCAATTTTCAAATGAGGAAACCAAGGCCCAGAGAGGTTAAGACACCTAGCCCAAGGTTATCAGCCAGGACTGGGTAGTTCTACAGGCTGAGCTTAGTAGCATGCCCATACCCCTGTCCTAACCCTTATGTTGGCCCTTTATTTATTGATTTATTTTATTCCTTACCCAAGGACACTTTTCTATTTATCATCAGATAGAGTGGGAGGGAGGGAGGGAGAGAGAGAAGGAGGGAGAGAGGGACAGAGAGAAACATCAACATGATAGAGCCACATCGACTGGTTGCCTCCTGCATGACCCTACCAGGGCCAGGGACAAACCACAACTGAGGTATGGAATCAAACCCTCGACTCATCGGTCCGTGGGCCAACACTCTAACCACTGAGCCAAATCGGTCAGGACTATGTTGGCCCTTTAACCTACCCATACGCACATTTAGAAAAAAACAACAAGGGGGCAACAAAAGGCCCATGACCTCGTGGCTCCTAGACCACACGCCATCAGAATCACAAAGAGGTACCGTGAGGACCCCCTCAGCAACAGCGAGACCTGCACGCGGCCTGGCCACAGAGACGCTCCTGACATGCTCTGATAACAAGTCACTAGAAGAAGTCACTTTATACTACGAGAGATGCAATGAACCAACGCAAATCTATACAGAAGAATTCTATGCTGTCATTTACAATGATGTCCCAGAGAATGTGACAACACAGGCAGAAGTGATATATTCATAAAAAATAGGTTATCAAACAATATGTGTAAGTGTGAGAGCTTATGTGCAGTGTGTCATATATTCACCGATCTTTATGTGAGATGTACATGTGTACACAGTCATCCCTCTATATCCGCAGATGCTGACTGTATACATTGCTCTATGCCGTTTTATATAAGGGACCTGGGCATCCGTGGAGATCCTGGAACCAATCCCTCACAGACATGGCGGGGCAACTGTACATAAATGAGTGGGTGTGTATAAATATGGATACACCACACACGTATATTACTAACAAACACATTCCATACCAAGGTCATTCCCAAGTACATTTCTTCGCCAGCCCCAGTGACGAAGGAGTAAACATGCAGAGCACCAGGCGCTTTGCCTCCTAACTGGAGGGTGAGCGGGCCTCTGCTATGTTCATCCGGGCGCCTCATGCCCTTTCACCCGCGCCTCCTGCACGGCCAGCTGTGTCAGGTCTGCCCAGGCAGATGCCCGGGGGGTGGCTGGAACGCCTTGGCACCTCCGCTGTCTGCAGAGGCTGCTCCCCTCACCCCTCTCCCTCGAGGATGGTCGGGCTCAAAGGGGCCTTAAAGACTGACATCTGGCCCAGTGGATGTGGCTCAGTGGTTGAGTGTCGACCCATGCACCAAGAGGTTGCCAGTTCGATTCCCGGTCAGGGCACATGCCCAGGTTGTGGGCCTAATCCCCAATGGGGGCATGCAGGAAGCAGCCAATCGATGCTCTCTCTCATTTATGTTTCTGTCTCTCTTTCCCTTCCTCTCTCTCTAAAAACAATAAAGAGAAAAAAATAAAAAAATAAAAGACTGACATCTGTAGCCCCTTCCCAGGCAGAGCCTCTCAGGGTGTCAACAAACTGCCTGCTTCTCCTATGATAACAAAAGGCCATTGGGTTTCATCAAGGTTGGACGCCCTTTATCAGCTGACCATGATTTTATTACCTCTGGAGGGAAAAAGCTGCCTATTAAACAATGCACAATGCTTTCTCGCTACTTACAATTTTTATTTTATTCTTTTCAAAAAAGCTCCTTTAGACCTAGACAAACCTTTGCTATCTACCCCTATCATGTATATGTGCTAAGGCACCTACAAGTGAAGTATATTGGCTAAGGTTTTCCAAACCTTGTTCACGTTGAGAATCCAACAGCTCTCATCAGTGGTGACCCTGAGTCATTCGTGCTCCAGCTCTTCCACACAGCGGCCGTGTCCCCTGAGGCAGCATTTCTTACTAATCCACAAAAGAACAACAAGCCTCAAAGCCGGGGTGCGAAGTTCTTAAGTCAGCTTTGCAATCATCTAGAGCCCGCTTACTTCTGACTCCCGCTTCGGAATGTGGCCGAACGAGTCGGGTCGCACCTCCCCAGCCCCTGCCTGCACACAACGGGTTGGATCCAAAAAGGTTCAAAGAGCACTTTGCTTTTGTCTGCAGGGCTTTCTTCTAAGCCGCTGGACTCCCATCCCTGCAAGTGTGGTGCTGCTCTTTTGATGTTTGTACACGCCCGGGAGATGACATCCACAGCATGCCTGCCATCTGGCTGACAGCAACAATCAAATGTAAAACGTCCCGGCTTCAGATATGTCAGAAAGTGAAAAAAAGGCACCTTCGCTCTGAGGAAATGCTGAAATATCCAGCCCCCCTTGGTACTGATGTTGGGCTGGCATGTTTATAACCCCATAATTGATGATTGGTAAATTCTTGTGCTGCTCCATAATTGATGATTGGGAAAGTCACTGTGTGCCCTCTAGCTAAACCTGTTTAGTTAAAATATCCTCGGTAAATTGGAATACTCCCTGAACCAAGAAATTGTTGGGAGCCGGCTATGTGTCTGACAGAGTCCACAGAGCCTGGAGGTCTTGAGTCAGAGACTCGACCTTCTCCACAATCTCAAGGAATCAGGCTTACATAGTGTTTGTGCAGCTTGGGGCTAAGTGTGACCCAATGTACCTTGAAATACCTGAAATACCTGG